GGCCTTGCGCTTCTTGGGCCGAGCCCTAGCTGGGGCGCCCCCGATCATCTCCTCCTCCCATCTCGCTCTCAGTAAGTAAGCTCCCAAAACTTTCCAAATCCCTCCCCTTTCCCGACTCAACCGCCCGTCGTCCTGCGCCGCGGGTTTTAATTTCCTTCCCGTTCCTCCTCGTCCAAGCTCAGATCTGAGCCCGTTTGGGCTCGTTTCGCTCGGATCTGCGCCGAGCTTCGGAAATTTCTGGGCTTTTTCCTTTCCGGGCGCGTTTGTTCAATCGCTGTTTGCTTGCGGGGGTTTCGTTCGCTCGCGCGGCCCGATTGGGCCGAGGGCGGGCCCTGCGAGGGATTGATTCATCTAGGGTTCGTTCGCTACGCAAAAAAAAGTTTGTTTTACCCATGGGGATTCTCCGCTCATGGCCCAAATCTTACTGTTGTGCGAGCCATGGCTTCTTGTGTCCAGTTCTTCCTGTGGAATGTTTTTCCATTCAGCGATCTCGTATGGAAGCGGGTAGGCGAGATTTATTATTCCGGCATTCGGCAGGCGCCATGGGGGAATCTGGAGGGACATCAGCTCGATTCGTGGGTCTGGGGAGCTACATGGAGGCGTGCAGACGCTGTACCTGTTTCTTTTGATCCGTAAGCTTTTGTGATTGCACAAACACGTGGAGCCATAAATTTTCAAGCATAAATTTGTGAACTTGAAGTCCTGTCTCTAGCCACTTCCAGCGTGAGTTTGATTGTGCTCCCATTAAACTTGTATATAGTTTTAAAAAGGAAAGAGCTTAAGCTAATATTCAGAAGGAACAGTGACCACTGAGGTTGTGGATGAACAAACTTCTCTGGAGCTGTTACCAATTTAATTGAGACAGACTACTAGAGCTACCATTTAACGGTGTTGGACCATCCTGGAGTAACTTAACTGGGATGGGGTGTCGTTTCCCAAAAGCTTCCTCTGAATGACAGTGGTTCATACTACTTAATAGCTTAGCTCAATACAAATTTGTGTATACGTCGTGCTTTTAAGCATTTTAACTGAGGCAGGCCAGCGAAACATACTTCTTTTGAAAGGCATATTAAAGGCTATGATTTCTTTTGTGTATTACTTCTTTTGACAGTGGTTCATTACATCATTGAACGAACCCTTTGCAGATTATTATTTAAATATAGAAATCTCGTAATATATCCATTCTTGTTTCTTATTTGTTACATGCATGCAAATGTAAAATAAACGTACCTGAAGAACTTGTAGAAGTTTATGGATCTTGCCTCACTACTACTCTAGAAAAACCGGTGCTCTGGCATCTGACTTTACCATGTTATATGTATGCCAGGTTTTGGGACTTCCAGCATGGCTGATGAAACTGGCAATGACAGTCAGATGTTCGAAGGTAATGAGATTGTTGACCCTGGTAATGAGGCAGTCCATGGTGATGAGGCAGTCCAAGGTGGCGAGTTGGTCGAAGTTGATGAACTAGCTCAAGGTGACGAGTTGGCTCAAGGCGAGGACTTAACACAGGGTGACGAATTGCTCCAAGGGAATGAGATGGCCATCACTGAGGTGGCCACTCCTCCAACCACGAGGCGCCGGAGAAAGAAGTCCCTGGTGTGGGAGCACTTCACTATTGAAGATGCTGCTGGAGGGGCTACTCGGGCTTGCTGCAAACTTTGCAAGCAAACCTTTGCGTACAGCTCTGGTTCAAAAATTGCTGGGACTAGCCATCTCAAGAGGCACATCACCTTGGGTTCCTGTCCTAAGATAAAAGGCCAAGGGCATAAGCTAGCAATTACAATTGGGACTGACAATGATGGTGATGGTACTGTGGAGAGGCGGTCTAAGAGGCGTTACAGATATACTGGTTATGCGAATGCGTCTTTTGATCAAGACCGCAGTTATTCATACTTGGCAAAGATGATCATTTTGCATGACTATCCGCTCCACATTGTTCAACAACCAGCCTTCACTGCTTTTATTGATAGTCTGCAGCCTCGTTTCAGGGTTGTTGATGTTGATGCAATGGAGGTGGAGGTTTATGCTGTTTATCAGAAAGAAAAAGAGAACCTTTTGCAAGCATTCAGCGCTATGCCTGGAAGGATCAGCCTCACCATTGGATTGTGGACAACTAGTCAAACTCTTGGCTATGTTTCAGTTTCTGGGCAGTTCATTGACTCTGAATGGAAATTACATCGAAGAATGCTTAGCTTCATGATGGTGTCTTCGCCTCATTCGGACAATGCACTTAGTGAAGCTATTAGCTCAAGCCTTACTGACTGGGGTATGAAGGAGAAGCTATTTACCATCACGTTGGATAATGATTCCTTATCTCATGACATCTACAGTGCAAATCTGAGAGATCAGCTCTCCAGTAAGAATAACCTCATGCTTAAGGGTCAGCTATTTGTTGTGAGGTGCTATGCCCATATCCTGGATGCGGCTGCACAAGATGTCATTGCTTTAATCCACGGTGTCATCTACAGCATCCGCGAAAGCATAAAGTTCATAAAAGCTTCTCCTAGTCGTGAGGAAAAGTTTGCTGAGATTGCTCTGCAGCTGGAGATCCCCAGTACGAAGACCCTTTGTCTGGATGTTACAACCCAGTGGAACACAACCTATCTGATGCTCTTGGCTGCCTTGGATTATAGGCAGGCTTTCATTACACTAGAAACAGTTGATGAAAACTACAATGAAGCACCTTCAGCTGAGGACTGGAAAAAAATTGAGGCTGCCTGCAATTACTTGAGGCTGCTCTATGACTCGGCTCATAGCATCATGGCAGCAGGAAACCCAACCTCAAACATTTTCTTCCATGAAGCTTGGAAACTGCAGCTAGAGCTGGGAAATGGTTCAGCACACGAAGATCCAATTTTCAGTAGCATCGCCAAAGACATGTATGAGAGGTTTGACAAATACTGGAAAGATTGCAACCTTGTGTTAGCTGTTGCTGTTGTGATGGATCCACGTTTTAAGATGAAGCTTGTTGAGTTCAGTTACTCAAAGATTTACGGCGTTGAGGCTGCAAAGTATGTTAAGGTGGTAAATGATTCGGTGCATGACCTTTTTAAGGATTATGTGGCACAGCCGCTCCCCTTAACACCGGCCTATGCTGAACAAGGGAAAACTGATAATGCTACTGCCAATGGGAACAACACCCAAGCAACTCAACCTTCAACTGGTGATGGCCTTCAAGACTTTGATATATATCTTTCTGAGATTGCTACAACCCAGCCCTCAAAATCTGAGCTAGAGCAGTACCTGGACGAGTCTCTTACTCCTCGCATCCAAGAGTTCGACATTCTCAATTGGTGGAAGCTCAACATGCAGAAGTATCCGACGCTCTCAAAGATGGCGCGGGATATCTTGGCCATCCCAGTGTCCATGGTGACCGGCGGCACCTCTATATTTTCTGCAGGAACAGGGTGCCATGTGCTCGACGACTACAGAAGCTCGCTCCGTCCGGAAATCGTGGAGGCGCTCGTCTGTGCAAAGGACTGGCTTCCGAATTCGACCGCCGCACCGGAGGCCGTGCCGGGCTCTGGGCTTCTCAAGATGGACTAGGCTCGCTTCCTTTGCTGAAGCATGCATATATATCTTCTGGTGCCTGTGAGTGGTCCTTTAACCGTAGTCGTATTTTAGGCAGAGTTTGTGGACTGGCTGCGATCGATGATTTCATTGGAATCTGTCCTAGAATGTAATTTGTCGTGTAGAACTCTGTTAACTCCTCATCCATGCTGTTATGTCCGCCCCTTCCTTGTGTTGTAATACGTGACCAGAGATGTTATCTCACGTTGCTAGGGATGTGTATGGCCCTACAAGCAACGTAATGTACCAGCCGGTGGATTGTGTTTGTGCTTCAGTTTTTTTTGTGTGTGGTTGTGATGACTTTGGTGGAGTTAGCTCTAGCATTTGGTTTCTCTCACTTTCTACCCATGTAAATTCTTCCACGGATCCCATAATTATCATCCGGTTCGCCTGTTCTTGCTCGTCCTGC